TGTGTGTGTGTGTGTGTGTGTGTGTGTGTGTGTGTGTGTGTGTGTGTGTCAGGAGAAAGTGCAGCTGCAGTACAGATTAACCTTCACCATGGGAGAGCAGGAGCACAGCGAGAGCGGCAGTCTAGAACAGTTTCCTCCTCCAGAGACGTGGGGGAACCTATAGCACTGAACCACAACCCGACAGACTCTCTGGTTTCAGACTCCGCCTCCTCCTGAAACCACCTCTCCAACTCAAACACTCTGCATTCGCCCGTTTTCCTTTTGTGAACACGTACTTTTCTTTGATCGGTATCGATTTCATTTCCTTGGATTACGCTCATGCTCCGTTAGTGTGTGTGTGCGTGTGCGCGTGTGTGTCGTCATATTGTTTTTAAACAGACACTTGGGTGTGCTTGATGTTTTTCACTTCACAAAGTCGGTCTGAATCACTCATCGGTTGCCTCTGCATGCTTTTCCAACACGGCAGACGATGCCTGCTAAATCCAGCACACCGAGAGAGAGAGGACGTTAGCGCATCACATAGATGCAGCGCATCCTAGTTTTCAGAACAAACCTATACTTAATCAATCGTGATGTGTATTTTGTAATTCCTTTCCCAGCGACTGAGTTGACTTTTTGATTTGCACGGGGGATTTTTTGATTGTACTGCTATGTCTGTTCTTTGCACAAGATGAGAAACAATCTACTGTAACAGTCTGTATCATCTGCCATATGTGCCTTTTTGTTTTGGCGGTTCTAACATTATTTAACTTTTCGTGTTTGGATGGATTTGTTTTTCCTCATCTGTTACACACCAGTCACATTGGGTCTGTCTGAGATGATGTTCAGCTACATGATATCCTTAAATTCTTAATATATATATTCAGAGCATTGTCAGTAGGCTAAGTTGCATCTTTGACTTTTCTTTATTTAGCTTGTGATTTAAGTTTAAAAATCGGCATTTATTGGGTAAAACGAGCGTCGCGCAAAGCCAGAGGAAGCCCGGTGCTCAGAGCGCCGCGGCAGTCTCGAACAAGTTCAACTGGTTTCTACAGCGTGCGATACATGTCGGCCACGCTCAACACTCCCCCCACAGGCTCCCAATCACATTCCGCTGCACTAATCTCCAATACGACTGCTTTGTAAATACCAATGATGGCAGTCCTGTTATGTACATTTGACTTGTGCAAGAGCATAATTCTGGTGAAATATTCCAAATGGGTAATAAAGGATTTTTCTTGGTGACCTGAAGGCCTGTTCATTTGTGTTGGTGACCGAGTTTCTCCTCTCACCACATGGAAACTCATACAATACCCATCGCTCCTGTCAGCCTCCGTGATTTAGTGTCAATGATTTAAAGACCACACCTCGATACATTGAAGAGCTTTATTAAACTGTAAAAATGATAGCATTTGCTAGGAAACTCTCAAACATCATTGCAGCAAAGCCCCACATTGGTGATTAAAATTAATATTTATATAAAAAATAAAACAAATCAAAAGGAGAAAGAAATCCCTTTATGGAAAAATCAGTTAACGCTCATATTGTGCTCAAGCAACACCAAAATCTCCATGTTCATCATTACATCTACTCGCACTGATCTCGTGGCTCACAAACTCTTAAACACAAAAATAAAGATATTGAGCCTAAAACAGAAACAAGCCTTTATACAAAAAAAGAACTTCAACACCTACCGTACACGCTAAAGGGGAAATCCGATTACTCCACAAATCCTATCGACTCACAATACAAATACAGAAAGTTTATACAAAGACTTTTTTTTTTTTTCCCAAGACCATCATCACAAACTTAGTCAATTGACACAAACGAGCTTCTGTCAAACTAAATAATTAAATCAGTCTAAATAATATAACATCTTGATGTTGAAGTGGTCGAGCCTCCAAAATCAAACGTTTTTTGTCACCGATTGTGACCTGGTGTTGTGCGTGCGTGCGTGCGTGCGTGTGTGTGTGTGTGTGTGTGTGACCGACTCACAGATTACATTACTTTCTGCCTGATGGAGGGGGCGGCAGTGGAGGAGCAAACTGGTCCCCCATCAGGCCCATCATGGGCTGGGGAGGATTGAACTGCTTGGCCATTAGAGGCTGGGGGCCCGACGAAGAAGGCGGGGCCTGCTCCGCTCCACCACCTCCCGACCCAGAGCCGCTCCTGGAGCTGCTGTACTGAGTGCTGCTACTGCTGTTGTTGTTATCCTTGTACTGGTCGTATGAGTTGGAGCTGGAGCCATTGTTGCGCCCTCCGTCCCTGCTGCTGCGATCTCTGTAAGAGGAGGAAGATGAGGAGGAGGAGCGTTCCCCATCCCGGCTGCTTCCTCTGCGGCCATCTCGGCTGCTGCCGCGGCTGTCCTTGGCGCTGCCGCCCCCACCCACAGAGCGCATTCGCCGGTCACACTGGTCCTGGTACATCAGGTTGGGATTGTTAGAAGTGGAGCCACTGCGAAAACGAGGACGGCCACCTGGAGATAATTTAAAAAAAAAGACATTAGGACAGACAAATACTGAAATTCCCCAAAAAGTCAAAACTAATTCCTCTTTGGCAGCGAGATCTCAGGAGCTAAATTATTTTGCCACCATATAAAGTATATAGTGATGTAATCCAGCAGGAAGTGTCCCTCACCTCCTCCCCGTCCAGTATCCACCAGCTGCAGCAGTTTGGGATTGATGGCCTGTCGGGCCTCCTCCAGCACCCGGATCAGCTCGCGGGCCTGGCGGAGGTTCCCCGGGGTGAAGAAGGTGTAGGCGGTGCCTTTGTTGGTGCTGCGGGCCGTGCGGCCAATGCGATGGATGTAGTCCTCCGACGAGTTGGGGTAGTCGTAGTTGATGACGAATTTGACATCCTCCACATCTTGACATTTGAGTCGGTGTGATGGGATCGGTTACGGGGACGGAAAAGACAAAGAGCACAAAGTCAGAACAAAACCAACACTGGTTGAGAAATTTACTCCATTGGTGAATTTTAAGTTTTGTGCTTTTGAAAAAAGGGAACATTCAGACAGACAATACCTGCAAGACCCATCAATACCCATCGTCCTCTAAAAGCTTCCACCCACTTACCTGTTAAATCATCGACTACTTGTACGATACACAATTAGAAAATGAATTTACTTACCATGCTAATCACACCACAGGGCTCACTTATCTAGCGTAGCAATAAACTAGTGCAAATAAGCTGTGTGTGGCCAAAGGTACATATCAGCTGAATTAAGGGATGAAAAAGTTTGTGGTTTGCTGAAGAATATTAAGTGAAATTGTAAAAAGAGGCAAGTGACCCTACAGGGGATCCTTGTGTAAAAGACAGATCCAGTAGTCTAAAGGGATCAAATGAAAAGAGTTGGAGGTCTGTTTCTCATTACAGTTGACAAAGGGCTCCGAAAACACTGCTGTTATTAGAGACAAGTCTCGATTTGGAAACATAACGACAAAGGCTGTCGGAGGACAAAAATGGGGAAGGAGGGGGGGGGGGGGGTGGAAGTACAGTACTTACCCTGCATCAGGGATTTAGGGATAAAGTGACCCCTCTTTCCCCCCTACCCATCCCCAGTCCTGGGAGGTCTGCAGGGGTAGGAGGAGAGCGCACGGGACAAAAGCAGTCCCTTCTCTCCCAGTGACAAATAACTTGTGATCGCGATGTAGAGCGGGGGAAGTGGTAGATTCTCTAAAAAGGCTTTGACGGTCTTTGATTGGTGTGGCTCGTTTCAAAATGCCACCAATGGCAATGATATCAACGAGCCGAGCTTTTCAAGTTTAGTAACGAGAAACAGACACTAAGGAGAAGCCATGTGGATGTTTTGTGAGAGTGGGGTCTGCCAGGGAATTTGAGTCCTGACAGTTCGTACTCGTCCTTACGGAGGGTTTTAGCGAGTCATCTAAAGCTGGTGAGTTATTAACAGACTGGACTGATGGTCCGGTGTGACGTTTACAAAGATAAATGTCCGGAGTCTTAAAGATAAAGAGGGGTTGAAAGCCGGACAAACAGTCGATTTGGGAATGAGGGGCAAAGGGACAAAAAGGGGACAGGGGTCAGTAATGGTTTTAAAAGGAAACAACACAAGACCAGGACAGGAAGTTGGGTGGTAAAAAAAGAGGTAGAGGAATGAGAGAAAGAAGGAAACATTTAAGGAATTAGCAAAAGAGGGAGAGTGTCAACCGAGCGAGAGAAAACGACAGCGAGAGAGAGAGAGAGAGAGAGAGAGAGAGAGAGAGAGAGAGAGAGAGTGTGAGTGAGTGAGTGAGTGAGTGAGTGAGTGAGAGAGAAAGAGAGAAAGAAAGAAAGAAAGGCCAGAGAGGCAGAGGAGTAAACTCAATTATAGAGAGGTGGCTCCTCCAGGCCAGGACTCCTGCCAGCCAGGACCAGACATGACGTCCGCAGAGGGAGAGGCCGGCCGGCACAGCCAGTGGTGGGGGGTGTCAGGGGCTGGCATCAGGGGGCAGTTCAGAGGGGAGCCTCCAGCATAGCCGTCCATGCCCGGGCTTGGGCTGCTTTCCACCCTCACTTCCTGGCAGTTGTGTCTTTCTCTGTCTTCTTGTAACGCACCACTGTATCTCGGCTTCACAGAACCTAAGTACGACCTATCAGACTGGATTATGTGCGGGACCAATTTAGGGGAAAAACTTCACTCTCCAAAGTTCGTTATTGGGAATGCTAATGTATCTCCTCAAGGACCGACAAGAAAATACACGGATATTGAAAACTTTGTTTAAAAAAATAAATAAAAGTCTCCAAGTCCGAGTCTTTGAGTTAATTCAATCAGCAGTGTGGTGCGTCACTGTGATGATGGCATGGCTGAGGGGAGCCCACCCTCCTCCATACCCCCCTCTTCGCCCTCTCACCTGACAGCCGCCCCCCCCCCCGACCCTTGGATCAAATTTGGAAGCCCAGCAGCCCAGCAGCAGCGCCCCACGCTCGCACCCCCGCAGCCAGTGTCCTGGAAGGGGGGAGAGTTTTGTTCGTGGGCTCTGTTCTAGGTTTTCAGCGGAGATGGCTGTGTCTGGGACTGTTTAATCAGGCCGTCTCTCTCCCCGAGTCAGCTTTCGATTTGTCATGCCTAGGTCCGGCTGCAGGCTCCCAAGGGCCTGTGTGCTTCTAGTTGACCGGAGGAGAGACTTGGAAACAAAAAAAACAAAGGAGAAAAAAAAAAAAAAAATGAAAAGAAAACAAATGAACATAGAATTAGGTTAAAAAGGTTGATAGCCATCCTGTAAAGGGGCTGTTTCACTAGCACTCACCCCTTACGTCTTCTCACTATTCTACATCATTCCCATGTTATTCAATAGAGCAGAGCGGCTTGAACCCTGCTTCAAATATGACGCACTTCTTAGATACACATTTTATCTGTGAAGTGTGTAATCTGTATGTTTGTAATTGACTTTTGATCATAAATATATTGTGAGTAAACATGCAGTGAAGAGCCTGATCATTATATAATGACCATTGGTATTATTACTAATATATTGCATGTCAGTGTGTTTGCACTTGAGCACACAGGACGTACCCAAACCACGCGAGGCCACGTCGGTAGCAATGAGGATGGGAGCTTTGCCGCTACGGAACTCTGCAACACAGAATAGATGATCAGGAGCTGATCGTCTTCGTGAAATAACAAAAACAGAGAAGAAAAGGAGACAATGCTGATATGAAGTCACTGTTGTTCAAATGTGTCTGTTGTACCCGATAACACCCAGTCTCTCTCTGGCTGGCTCTTGTCGCCATGAATACACATCGCAGGCCACCTGGAAGAGAGACAAGCGAGCTGTAACGTAAAATCACTTAACCGGTTAATACCTCAATGATTTTACATTTCTTCATCCCCAGAGGGAAACGCAGGCCCACCTGTTCCCACAAACCTCTGGGTCAGATACCGGATGTGATTGACATGGTAATGCATGAGATCCTGCACCATAAAAATGGCAAAGACCGAACCGCATAGAACGCTGTTCGACTGCTGTTATACATCGTCATTACTCACCCATCACGTCTCATCCTGCGTGTGAGATCGTCACATCGCTTCTTGGTCTCCGCGAAGATGATGGTCTTGTTCTCTTTCTCAGCCATGATCTCCTCCATCAGCTGGATCAACCTGATGAAAGAAAGCCAGAAAACATACAATTAATAAGTTATACATGTACATAAGCATCACTTAACACAAAAATAGAGGCCACGCTCATAAAAATAAGGATTAAAAAGGGAAAGAGATGCAGTAAACAGGAAAAGAGTAAGACGCAAGATGAATGAAGGAAGACTACAAAGGATGAGGGCCCTAAAACAATACGAACCAAACAAAGTGTAACAAACCAAAGCAGGAAAAGACATGTCTGCTATGTGGCCGGCCTCTTACTTGTGTTCCTTCTCACTCTCGATACAGACATCAACTATCTGAAGGATGTTGTGGTTAGCGCTGAGTTCCAGCGCTCCGACATTGATTTGGACGTAGTCTTTCAGGAAGTCCTCTGCCAGCTGGCGGACCTCTTTGGGCCACGTAGCACTCCACATCAGGGTCTGTCTGTCGGGCTGGGGGCGGCGCAAACCACATAAACAGAAACGAGTAACGACAGGTACTAAAATGACTTACAAAAACATAAGACGGAAGCTATCAAAGCCAGCACTTCTCTGCTGTAAAATGTACCCTGATCTGGTCCATAATCTTGCGAATCTGTGGTTCAAAACCCATATCCAGCATGCGGTCCGCTTCATCCAGCACCAAGTACGTGCAGCGCCGCAGGTTGGTCTTTCCAGCCTCAAGGAAGTCAATCAGACGACCTGGTGTGGCAATGCAGATCTCAACACCTGAAGGAGACAAATTTAGTACATCACAGACTAATCAAATGTGGATTTCAATGGGACACAATTGTTTCAGCTGACTCAGACAGTAAAAAAAAAAAAATGAGTTAGTAATGTGACACAAATTGGTGTTAATCCAAAGAGTTAATACGCCCTACCTCTCTCCAGGTCTCTGATTTGAGGTCCCTTGGGAGACCCCCCATACACACAAGTGCTTTTGATGCGGGAGGACTTTCCGTAGTCGCATGCCACCTGCTGGACCTGCTGCGCCAGTTCTCTTGTGGGGGCCAGGACCAAGCACTGCAGAGCACACATGTAATGCCATAACAATACACTGTTTAGTGCATTAGACACTTATCATTCTTGTAAACTCCGATATCTCGAAGTGGACAACTAACTAGTTAGTGTATTCCTTTTCTCGCACGTACAATGGGCCCATCTCCACGCTCCATGTAGGGCTGATGACTGATGTGCACAATGGCAGGCAGGAGGTACTGAAGAAAGAAAAAAAAGGAGGGAGGGGAAAGGTCAGTGGATGTTGCTGCTGCATGTTACGCATCCATCTTTGGAGGAAGACATGCGTCTCACCGATAAGGTCTTCCCAGAGCCGGTCTGAGCAATGCCCACCATGTCTCTCCCGCTGAGGGCCAGAGGGAAACCTTGAGTCTGAATGGCTGTGGGCTCCTTGAAATTCTGCTGCATCAGGACATCCAATACGTATTCTAGATGGAGAGGCAGAACAGAAATATTCTGGTTATTTCTGAGGCAACTGATTTAGTTTAGTATTTTTTTTTGTAGTGGCCATGTGGTTCCACAATTGTAACATGCACGTGCTTACGGGGAAACTGTGCCTGCTGGAAGCTGGTGACAGGTTTTGGGCAGCCTGAACCCCGAACAGTGATTTCTTTCTTCCTGCAATACTCCTCAACATCATACTGAAAAGCAGAGAGTGAAGAAAACCAACAGTAAACACCGGTGTACAGCATTTTTAATGACTCTGGAGTCACTCTTGTCATGCATCAGAAGATCAGACTGTGATGTTTCAGGGATACCTGGCTCATTCGCTGCACTTCCGAATGTTCAACGTAAAAGTTCTTCTCAAATTTAGGAAGCTCGTCCAGGTCCCATCTCTTCTTTCGTAAACGGTCCCCGGGGTTCCCAAACTTTTTACCCGGTGGTGGGCCGCCTCTGCTGGACCCGAAACGAGGGCTGCTGCAACATGACACACACACACACACTGTAGCTAGCTTTCCTTGGCTAGACAATTAGCCCTGCACACTGTTAACCCCAACAAACGCAATGAAAGCCTGTTTATAATGTCCACTAACGGTATGCGCTAGCTCTAACTGTACTAGACTGAGTCAGCTGCTTACCCTCTGTCACGGTCTCGAGCTCTGTCTCCGTGCGAACCTCTCATTGTACGGACACGCACTCTTGTATGAGGGGTGAAGCGGTTATTTAGTGGGGCCTTTAGTTCAGTGGACACTTTTCTCGAAGAAGTTCCCTGGCTTTCGCTTTTCTATAACTGTTACCGTTACAGGCCTCGACAACCACCGTAGTTCTATCCGACACGGCTTTTATTTCAGCCAAACGATGACGTATAACGTTACCGTGGAACGCAGTATGAATGAAGACATTGAACCTTTCTTAAAGACTTGTTGAATAGTCAAATATCACACCAAGCAATGACTTTTCTGTGACAAACCTAAGTTATATTGACACAATACTGAGAGCTGTACTGCTATGTTATTGTTGTTGTTGTTAGCATAGCGCACGCGCAGCGGGCGAGCGGAAGCTACTGTGACTGGCTGACTGCTTGGTAAGCCCCGCCCCCACATATGATTGAGCGTCAGTCCTTTTTCTTTTGGTCCGCTTCATATCTGCCCTTTAAATCAACTGTGGTTTCATCTGAAAGTAAAATCAGACACCAAAAGGGTTTCTTGATGACACCCACTATTTTGTGATTCATAAAAGTAAAATCATTGTAACAAAATATTTGTATGTTATATTGTGATGATGGCGTCTACAAGCCGACGTGATCAAAAACCTGGCAGAAATATATTTTTTGCATTTTGTATTTTATTTCTTTCCAACAACAAACAATTATAGCATCAAAACAATAGATATTGCCAATATACAAATTAAAAAGTGTACAACAGAACTAAAACAAGAGAATATATGAAAATTAAACTATTAAACCCAAGCACTATACCAAGCAATGCCATTACATCATCATGAATGTTTCACAGTGCTTCCACAGAGTTTAACTCTATTTACAACATCCCCTGCTTTCTGGTATAATATTTCCTGGTTATATATTCTCACCTTTGTGATTAATATCCAGCTTATCACACAGTATCAACACTGTTATTTGATAGTGTTTTGAATGAAGATGCTTGCGTTGGATACGCTGTTAGCTCGGGGCAGAGTAAAAGGCAGTGAATGGGACATAGTTCAGCAGTCACAGCAGGAAACTTTTCAACACTTTCTTTATTCCGCTAACTGAATATGATTTTCCAATTTAGAAGATGATTGCGCTCTTTTGAGGATGCACATCAATTTGGCAGTTCATTTTTCACTTGGACTGCATTCATCACAAACAAGGACTTCACTGTTTGTTTACTTCCAGTCAACAGAATTGAGTCAATCCGTACTTTGTATTATGCACTTAACATAAGAGGAAAACAATGATCACACATTTAGCGCCAGCATCGGGCCTAAAGTCACCCGTCAAAAGGATCTAGTCAGCGTTTATATTGCTGTGTTCTGCCATCAAACGTACACGATCACAAGCAGCTGCTATACTGGCCCCTGCTAAAATGCATAGTCAACATCAGTTGATGAACAATTAACTCTACCAATGGGAAGCAGAGGACGATGGGCAGACCTGAAGGTTCTGACTCACTTGAGGATTTATTTTTCCACCATGCATCACTGTTATAGTGTGCTTCTGAACCAGTCTATGTGCAGCTTGCATACATTATTTTAATGCCCATGTATTCCTTTTCCAGGCGAGTCTAATTTAAAGCCTTGTCTGCACTGAGCCTCTTTGAACGGCCTTATCTGTCCGTGTTGACCGTCGTCCTGACTAACTCACTACTGCTATAGCAGTGATTCCCTTATAAACACCACCAGCAGAGGCAGGCCTGATCTGTGCTGGATTTAATTATGGGATTACAATCCGCAGCACATCACAGCTGGGAAGCGCTGCTTCTTCAGTAATCTGTAATCTGGGTGGGCGTCAGTGGCCCTGCCCGCACTAACATCCCTCCTACAGCTGCTCCCTCTCGGTGCTCCACAAACAGCAACATCGCACACAGAGCCAACAGCTGGAGTCATGCGATTACACTTTTGAGTCACTGGTTCATATGAACCCATAACAAAATGAAAACAAACAGAATATACGTTTTCAGGAATAACAATCTTCCAACAAACTGCTCTTTAAATGAGTTACACCTTCAAGGTCATACAACATTTAAATAAGAAACGTGATTAAATTCTTATATATTAAAATCAAGCCAATTCAAAGGCTCGACTATAAATCAATTCTAAATCTTAAGACAGTGCGTCTCATTGACTGGAGCACATTGTACTCCTATTTGGCAATGATTCGGTAAGAGGCAGAACTGGCAGAGGGGTTAATATGAAAACTGAGGCCATGTGTTTCAGATGTAGATGACACTTATTTGCTCTGGCATACACCTTATATCCGTCATAACTTTATGTATTTCTGCTGTGGTGTTTGAAGTGCATCATAAGGACGCTGTATGCAGGCACAGTTATTTGTACCATGTTCTGTCAGTAATGGCTCCTATGACAACACAAATGACCATTTAATAACCAGTTAATACATCTAATGTCTGTCTGAACATCTGGACTTCTCTAACCTCTTATTACCTCTCTTTCCTCGTAGAAACCCTCCATCCCTTCCCACAGTCTGGTACCTGTGTTTTTATAAATCTGAGATGAATCTGATCTTTTCATTGTTGTCTAAACAAAACTGAATCTGATCTTCCATGTTAAGGTACCAACAAAAAGATCTGATTCTTCTCACACTGGTGATAAGAATCCAACATGGGCTACGGGAGCAGAGTGAGTGTGTGTTTGAGTCTCAGAACTCGTCGTCAGAGCTGAGCAGCAGGGTCTTTTCGTTGTCCCCTTGGGTGCTGAGGTTGCTGTGGCTGCGGGAGAAGGGTGGCCCCCCAATTCGCTCCAGTGTGGACTGCTGGGTGTACTGCTGATAAGCCGGGGAGAAGTTGTGGATGGCATCCTGGACCATGTCCCCTGGGTTCATGGTCTCCTTCAGGCTGCTGGAGATGCTCTTCATTGGGGCACAGCGGCCTGGAGGAGAGGGGGGGGGGGGGGGGGGGGGGAATATCAATAAAGAGACACAGAAGTGGACAAGGAGGGAGATATGAAAGTGACGGATGATGAGTGAGAAAACTGCGAGGCTGTGTTTCCTTCCAACTGTCAAGGGAATTCTTTTTTATTTTTTTATTTTACCCAAAAACATAATTGTATTCCCTGAATACCAGAGACAGGCATGCTATATGATAAAGCAACTGTAGTTAGTATGATAATACTGGAGGTCAAGGTGAACGCACATTTTATGACATAACAGGCAATATACCACGAGGCAGGTGATGATTTAACACCAGGTTACACTATTGTTTCACTGCTGGGAGAGAGAGAATTAGAGGGGACCACTGAGCCTTGGGTAGGAACACAGACAAGCAAAATGCTCACGGACTGATGTCACCGGCTGCAAAATGAACATAAAGAAACAGAACAAGACAGCCACGGTTTGAAATGAGTAAACTGAACTCATGCTGAACTGAAAACAATGTTACAGTAATGGACATTCAACCACATTCAAACACCAACGGGCAAAGAAAAAGCACTTCTGGGGACAAACTGTGGTAGATGCAGACGAAACACAGAGAACATCAGACCTACCGTACTGTCCATAGATAGGAAAGGAGCCTTTCAGCGCAGCACAGTGAAGAAGAGAGAGAGAGAGAGAAAGAAAAAAAGGAGACAAAGAGAGACAAAGAACACAAGAAAGTCAGGATGAAAGTGAAGGGAAAGCAGAAGAGAAGAGAAAGACTCAACATATATATAGAGAGAGGAATCAAAGTAAAATAGGTTGGGACACAAAGAGTCACATCAGACTGCAGAAATCAAGTCCATATCGAGGACCATTCATTCAGAGCAGACCGATTATAATGCTATATTATAACTCTTCTCTCATCAGCTACATATTTAGCTTTAACGCTCTGATCTCACACCAGCCTCTTAATACCTCCCTTACCGTACGAGTCCAGTCTTTTATCCATGTAGACCTTGTAAGTGAAGGCATGGCGCAGAGCAACGGCAGCGAAGAACATCTCAATGCAGACGATGAAGTTTTGGTAACCAGCGGCAACCGTTCCCTCGCCCACAGAGAAGTCCGCCGAGGTGATCTGAGGGATGGCGCCGCACTTCTCCAGGATGGCCAGCAGCATGCCTGAATCAGACCAAAGAGAGACAGCGGTGAGAGAACAGGAAAATAAAGAAGGGCTGCAGTATGCAATTATGCATTTTCTTTTTGTCAACCTCTCGGACATTCCCACTATGTTGATAGAAACACACCTACGGGCTGCTCTGTGTTGAGAAGGCGGAGCTCTTACCTTGCCAGAAGGAGAGAAAGATGACTGATTTGACCATGACGAACTTGAGCATGGGGTTGTAGGGGACGAGCAGTTCACGCGTGGCGAAGTAGAAGAGGAAGAGAGCGTAGAGCGACAGGCTGACAGAGACGTTGTAGATGATGGTCACGTACAGGTAGCCACTAGCCACGCTGGAGGAAGAAAGAATGTGCTTTAGCTGTGACACACAAGACATAAAGCAGACTCACAATCAACGTGAACCTACACAAGGCAGGTTTCTCATTTGGGCAAAGAGTTAAAACCCTTTAGTGTCTTAGCTCTGGAGAGGCTGCAGCTCTTCATTGTGTAGGATGATGATATTTACATAAAGCTTTACTGTAGAGCAGCACTCCTGATGTTTTCTGTTTTTACAAGCCCTCGTTAGGGATTTACTCATTAATGATATGAATTCTCCGGATTGCTGCTCAGCCATTGTGGTCTGACAAAACCTTTCGCTGAAGTTGGTCGGTGCCCACAGCAGTGTGACACGACAAGTCGGAACAAAATAGATCCCTGCTCAGGGAGAAGCCTCTGCTGTGAATGTGGAAACTTACTTAAAGTCTCCATCTTTGTATTTGCCGAAGGCCTGAAGAATGACAGTGATCACTGCCATCAGGGGTTTCACCACGCAGAACTGGAGAGTGGCCTGAAGAAGCAAGAGTGAGAGGAAAAAATAATAGAGTCAGGAGAAATAGCAGGTCAGTAAAAGCCCCACGCGCTCATAATCTTCATCAAAATGTCAAAACTGAGTGTGAAGCTTCTCAATGAGACATTAAGAGAATATGTACAGAAAGAAATCTGTAAACTAATACATAGTGCTAACACCCTTTGAGTAATATTAAACAGTGTGCAGTCTAAGAGCCAAGAGAGTGATCGGTACCTGTTTGCAAAACCTGAGGAAACCAATGGAGTATGTCTTTCCCCACAGACAGCAGGTCCCATACACACAGCTCGACCTAAAGGGGAGGAAAGGTTAACATTGTCGTAGAAGTAGACAAGCGACTTTAACATGAAATGACTATCAATAAAGAGACTAATTAGAAGGAAGGAGAGTGGAATCAAAACAGTGAAGAGGAGAGCACTTACTCAATAGGTTTCCCTCTGATCTCAGCCATAATGGCGCTCTCTCCTCCCAGATACTCGTAACACAGACTCAGGAAGTTGTAGATGACAAAGGCTGAAGAGTGTCACACATTGAAAAAGAATTAGGGCGATCATTAGTGTCTGTGACATCACTCCCAGATTCACAGCCCGTTTGTTAGGACAGTAGAGGACGAAGATAATTTGGGCCTCAGACTGGTTAAACAGTAACGGAGCAGAGACTCAGAACCTAAATGCATCTATAACCAAGGTTTTACAAAAATATCATGTCAAAGTTGCTGACGTGGGTCTGGAAACACTGGACATTTCTCACAGCCTCCAAAAAGCAGTCATAGCAGCGGTCGGTTAGTCACACAGTGTCGTCAACGCTCCGTCATGATTAGTTATGTTTTGCCAATTTTGTTCGAGAACTGCTGAGCGTGCCACTTCCAGGCAGAAAGGTGAGTTACCCCCCAATCGGCCGGCTTTAGAGACGTGTGTAATGTTGTGAGTGAGGTATAAGCCGAAGCGTAATTGTGAGGTATAGTTCCCCAATGCCGGGAGCAGAGGTGAAGCCGCGTGAGAACGGGACGCCTGTGGAGACGTTGTTGAATAGAACTCTATGACATCCACTCATGTACGGTGTTGCATAACTAATAAAGATACAAATCACATTGGATCGTGTGATGTTTTGTGTTGGTCTTCCATCAATGCAGACAGCTACACTGGTTGCTTCTAAAGCGTCTGTTGTCAGTGGTGCCGATTCATAAATGCAATGACACCAACATAAAGTAGTCCCTAAAAAGCACACAGCTTTACAGTGTACAGACACGTCACATCCGGTGTACTGGTCAATAATTCACGGGCTATTCTGCAAACACTTCTAATCTATTGGACACTTTATTAAGAAGTCATATATAATTTACATAAACCTGACTGAACACACACACACACTGATCCCAGTAATTGGAGTCCCTGAGCGAGCGGAGTGTTTTTTCATCTGCTGCCCCAGGTGTTCTCAGGCTAATTTAAGGGTAACCCACAGACACCGGCTCCCCACTGCCTCCGCTCTCGCTGCTGTTTAAAGTGGCTCAGTTTTCAAGGTGAGCCTGTGATTGTAGCACACAGACAACCCTGCCAGGAGCCAGTCAGCACAGTGCTGGCTTTGTTCATGTTGCAGAACTAAAAGTGTACTTTCACTGCTTTTAGCTTGAAAGGCGCTGGCGGATGACTTTGATGCAAATTGAGAGCATAAATATCCACGAGTGTTACTCAATGAGAGCAACAACATATACATACTGTGTATAGTCAATACTGTGCCTCTATAAAGATAGCTGTCTGTGACTTACATATCCAACAGCATAAACAGTAACCTCCACTTTGATACATTATTCATTCTGTAATATCTACTAGATTGTGATCCACTCCCAAAGAGAAATATGAGGAGGTATAGTACTTAGCACATCTTTCACAGAAGTACTGTAACAGGCACATAATGGCCCCAGAAGTGCAGCTTTTCAACCATAAAGGTGCAAAGTATTTGTGCAAAGGTGTGGCCATTAGGCCTGAACTCAAAGTACATTTTAAGGTGTTTATGAACTCATACTAGTCACCTGGTAGCTGAGTGAGCTCGTGATGCAGAGACAGACAGCATGAGTGTGTACGAGTATAACAGTGTGTATATGTTACTTTTTACCCGCAGTAGATCCTGGCACAAGTTGTGTCTATGCTATTAACAGCAGCAGTACTAAACATGTCTGTTTTTGATGAAAAAATGTATTGTTTAAAATATAAGATGAGAGGAAAATAACAACCAACAGTTCAAGCAAATGAGAGGCTTGAAGCAGCTTTCTGCCTTCCTGCCGATCAACTGCTAGTTTCAGCGCTAAAAGCACGCTCGGGCAATTATCCTGATGAAGCCGATGTGATGATGGGACACTGAAAGCAAATTGCCTCAAACATAATCACAGTATGATGCATAATTGCTTGTTTTATTCTTAATTGTTCTAAAAATTCTTAATGGGCACCGTGAGGGATGGAAAAAAAAAAAAGAACAAGCTTGCGATTTATCTGCTCATCGAGTGAGTTCCCATTTCAAAGTCTTCTCAAGGATTTGCTCGTTTTCCTGCAGTTGCTAGGAAACAGGTTTCCCCCTCGCCTGCAACCCCGAGAGGCCACGGAGACACGAGGACAAAGATGGCAACCTTTGTAAATGAAGACACTGCAAAGGCCATCTGCCGCTGGGGCATCGCAACATGTTCATTCTCACACCCATCTTTCTGCTGGGAGTCAAAGGACACACTGGAACACACACACACACACACACACACACCCGTGGTGGATGTTCTGCTCTTTGCCAAATATGGCAGCACAATATTCAGCCTGGGGCACAACTCGCTAGTGTGGCGGCGTATTGCACGGCGTTCCTCCATCCACTCACCTTCGTAGCAGTCTCGGACTGTGTCAAAGTACACATAATACTCCTCATTGGTGAAGAACAGGAGGCTGAGCCAGGAGTCGAAGGCATAGATGGGGACTATGAAGAGGATCCTAACTATGTGCCTCTGCTCGTTTGGAGAGCTGTAGTAACGCAGGTGCATGTAAATCTAAAAGAGAAAGGAGAAAAAAAAAAAAAAGGTCTGAAATCTAAGAACATACAATGATGAAAGACACCATTATCTAACCGGGACATTGCTTATCCCAAAATTGGGATAAGCAATACAAAACCAGCAGGTATTCACTTTTAACTTGTCTACAACAGCAGAGCGTGGCGAGGCACAGGTGGAGGTACAAGGTGCTTTATAAGACATCCCTCTAAAAGAGGACAGGAGATTTACAGTGGAGGCTTTAACATGGTGCCTAAGTAACAAACACTTTCTTGGCAAAGGTTGACTCAAATATGCGTGGAGGGGTTGCCCTTTTTGTAAAATACCTGAGCGACATACATGTGTTTGTTAAATGTACCTGTGTTGCACCTGTGCTTGACGTCTTGAACGTGCTCTGTGGAAAGTCGGGGGAGGTCTTTTCTGTGGGTCTGTATATTTTGGGACTCATGTACTCATGTGTCCTGCTACATTTCCTGTATGCTCAGTCCAAACGGCTCACTGGGTGAAACCATGTGAGGGGAAGTGGGTCTGTGTGTTTTTTTTTTGCTTGGTGGGAGGTTGTGGGTGCATGTGGAATGTGTGAGTGTCGATGGGTGAAACTAGGAGTGAAGGAACATCATTTATTTATCTCTCGTTTCTCTTCCTGTTTTTTCCCTTGTGCTGGTGGCTTTTAAGTAAGATGTTTAATTAAGGACATAAAAAATTCTAACGCGGTGAATAAACGGGTTTAAATCAGAAACTAACTGCTACCTCATGAAACCTGCATGCCAGGCTCTAGTTTGTCTGAGCAGGTCAGAGTACAGCCAGTTTACATTTGCTTTAGTCGGACACTGGAGTTCTGTGAGTGTGGAAGGTGTGTGTTTGCGTGTGTGCACCGACACATGGGCTGTTCCGGGTAACTGACACTGAGCTTTTATCACTCCTATTGAGAGCAGCAGACGGCAGGAAAGAGCAGAGCGGGCGCCTCTGTCTGCTTCATCCGGCTCCTCTCCACTTACACAATGTCGCACCGATCACCTTTCCTGGTCTGTAAACAGACACACACCTTTGGTCGCATAACAAACAGTGGGCGACAATACGCCAAGCGAGACAGTGCACTCCGCTCACACAGGGCTTTGTTGCTAAGTGACCCCTCCTCCTCCTCCTCCTCCTCCTCCTCCTCCACCACCACCACCACCACCACCCCCACCCACACACACACACACACACACACACACACATCCACATCCACACATCCCCGTCTCTTTCATGTCAAGTCGAGCTAGCAGCACTTGTTGCCAGAGTGACAGAGGGCTCTTCTTTAAGCCTGTATGTGAAGAACAATAGAGGATCATTAACCTGTGCCTCGGGGTAGAGTCCAGCTCACGTACATAAAAGGTATGTTTAGTAATAAACGTCTGTGTTACATGGGGGCTGATAAACTGACACAAACAAGGCACACAGGACTTGTGCACTATACTGCACCACTATCACTAAACAAACACCTCCAACTCCAGAGATTTTCAACACTCTGCTCACCGTCAAAACACAGGAAACTAAAGTATGTCCCTTTACAACTTGATTCTCTTGTAGCTTTTCCTCACGCCATCCACCCGTAGTCGACATTTTCTAAACCTATTGTAGATTCTTCTAGAAGCTTCAGACAAACACCGCACCCTCCTATGGCTACCCGAGGTATCTGGCACATGTTAGTTGTGTTTCAGGGGGAATAATCAAACCTCGGTCAATCAAACCGCAAACATCTTAATGCTGAAGATGCGCTAACTTCCCTGAAAACTGTTTTTTGAATTTGAAAAGGTTTTATAGGTTCCATTCACTTAAACACTAAATGTGTCTGAAGCATAAATATGCTCGGTGTTAAACCAATGTGCAACAAGTAGTGTGGACCAGCTACATGGAAAATGTGAAGCTTTCTCCCCGCAGGATGGGAAACTTTTTTTAACAGCATGCATGTGTTTAGTGTGTGAGCGTGCATATGGCCTGAGATTAACAGATACTCGTGGAAAAATACTCCTGGGTGTGAATGTGTCGACTGGTTTTTTTTTTTGCTGACAAGGAGCCATTTGTACTCAACAAACCTACCTCCCTTACATGAAGGGTAAAGAAAAAGAGGCAGAAAGGTGGGTGGACCTGAAAGACCATGAGCGAGATTAGTTTTATCCAAGTACTCTAGCTTAACTCTGGGCAAAGACATGAAAACAGAAGCTACCACACACCAAGCAGATAGGATACTAATGCTGTGTTCCCACTGATAATAGTGCAGCGTAGATACAATAACATAAAAAGCCGCATTCATTTCAATAAGGCCGCAGCGTTGGCCAATGGGGTGTCTTCTGCATCCTTACCTGGTGGCATGTGATCAGAAGAGCTGTCCACACGAAAAACCCAGAGATAGTCTGGGCAGTGGCGGTCATGAGGAAAATTGGCTCTTGTGGTGTGACCACCGGTGCTTCTGGCACCCAGGAGGTGTTGGATTGCTGCGGGGCCGCCGTGGCTGGGGGCCCCGGGGCGAAGCCGACAGGAGAGTCATTCCCCAACCTCTCTGCCAGGGTGAGGTCTCGCTGCCAAAGTGGACCCATCTGTATGAGGAAAGGATGTATATGAGACTTAAATCACAATAAGGTAATGCAACCTAATTTTAAGTAGTAGCCTACGAACAACAACAAGCAGCTTATAAAGCCTGTATGAATCTGGAACATGTAAATGTGTATCAACAGGCCCGAACAGCCTGAATCTCAAGACAACATCCGCTGATGTTAAAAGGAGAAAACAACAATAGAGCAGTAAAAAATGTGGGTGAAAACCACACAGAACATTAAAAGGGGGGGGGGGGGGTGTCACTCAAACATAGCAAATCAGTGTGACAGCAATAAGCTCAAAGCTGCTGACCCAATTTCTCCCTTATTTTCCCTGTGCTTTGCTGAGGGAGGAAGAAGAACAGTGTAGCCAGAAGTGATGCTAAATACTAAAAGATGTCCGTCTTCAGAGCAATGAAACACTTTTCCACAAATCAGCACCAAAGGTCAGGCTCAGGAGAACTGAGGCGTGTGGCCGTAGGTAGATGCTGCAATAAGAAGATTTATTGACCTAAATCTGGAATAAAGTAAAACAATTGTATGTAACCCCATGCAAATGTAAGATAGATAACGGTTTTTCTGTTCTACACAAATCTTTGTTTTATGACAAAAAAGAGACGCATCACCAGAGCTGTAGCTGAGAAAGATGGAAGACAATACCTAGAAATATTTTTGCGCACAAAATATGTGCCCATGCAAAATTTCTGCTGGATTCATCACACATGTGGACTGGACAACTTTGCTCTTACATCTGCGTGCGTATGTTAGTGAATCACAATTATGAATTGACACAATTGAAAGGCCCGTGCTGCTTTTTGCAATCAGCATAGTGCCACGCCCCCATTTCTCCAGATAAGGAAATACGTTTGTTGTAAGAGACGAGCATTGCCCCTAAATCAAAAGAAGCAAAATAATTTCACGACTGAACGTTGGCCTTTTCAATATGGATATTCTTATGCACTCAAATGTAACCTATGACCAATGCATTAGTACACTAACGGTGTCATGCCGTTTTAATATGCTATGCATTTAGTTTAGTTATCTTTGGAAGACAGCCCGGTCTTCATCATTAATGCGTCCCCACTACGCACCGTTCCAGCACAGATTCATGCTCACACAGTTTGTGAATTGAGTCTGATAAGTTTTGTCGAGTGGCTTAAGCATATTTGTGCCTCACTCTTTCTCAACATTCATTGTCAAAAAACTAAGCTAACTGTGCAGCAATGCACAGTCCAGACCCTGCTGAATTGTCTTTGTTGGGTTTGTACTGTATCAACCCAAACACTAACACTAGCATTTCTGCCACGTCAGCAGAATGGGAGGATTTCACTCCCACTGGTAAATCCCCATATCTCTGAATTTCAAAAAAGGATTTATAAGAAGGGGAAAATAAAACAAGTCATCACATGATTACGCCGCACTGATTTGGACAAATGAAAACACGGCTGGATCTGACGACATCAAAAGCACCCAGAAAGCCGCTCCACCACCCGCGTGATTAAATCAATAGATATCTCAGTACCCTCATCTCTCCAGCTACGCAAATGTCTTGGTGTGGATTCCGGGAAGGCGGAAATCTGATTTTCAGGGGAAACTAATTTCACAATGACTTTGAAACCCCCCTGTGCACCAGCTAAATATAGACTGTCGCTCAACGTGGTTATGGATGACACATGCTGCAGTCACTGTGAAACACATCAGCGTCACACACACACACACACACACACACACACACTTCAACTCGTATCTTTCTGCATTCCCGGACTGTTTTGTGAAAGAAATACCGGAAAGACATAGCCAGAATATCAATTTATTAATATTAGTTTCTTTAAAATGGTGTAATTAAGGGCTGGGCCTTATCATGTCATCATTTATTACATTATTAATCACAATGCACTTAGTCAAAAGTCTTAGCAGGCAGTTCCAGTTTGATATTCCAAAGGAATGCATTTCAATGTGATCAACATCAAGCAGACTATTTAACAGCTGTGTCCAAACAGATACTGTTATTGAGGGGAGGTTCTTACCATTGATCATGGTATTTATGCATGCACTTATGTATTTACCTATCATGGTATCATGGTTGGATGCATGCAAAAACGGCCAAAACAGGTCAGGTCTGTGCTCATCATAGCCTATAAGAGCACCATTCACATCAACAACAACGATCGGTGCTTCCCAGTGGGCCACAGAGAAGAGAGAGCGATAACTCACAATCCTGCTGACTGCACCCGTGGGTGGGTATGAAAACATGCATTGTACTTTGACCTGAATCGAATCAGCAGTGTTTGTGACAGGCCATCACACGTCCTCAGGCCAGCCTGAAACAGACCGTAAAGCATCCGGCCATTGAGGTCGTGTTCAATCAGAGGCACTGGAGATCACTACTTTACAGTAACCGCATCTCGTTTTAATTGCTCCAAGTGGAGCTATTATAGAGCAGGGTGCTCAGCCCTCAGAGCGATACACGCGCAGCCGTGCTGCACTGTAGAAAACCCGGTGACATCATATCTAAAAAGGAAAAATCCTGCAGCGACAATATTTACCTCAGCAGTGATTATTATACTTAAAACGGCCTGTGAGTTGAGAAAAACACGCCAAGCTGAAATAAAATGGTAGCTGTTGTTCAGAGCTCACGACTCCATCCTGCTGCTTTACGTACCTCATCTGCCGTTTGATCTGCGCTGGTTTCAATCACAGCATCACTTTAGCTCATCGTCGCAAGTCGACTGCAAACCTTTGAGAGAAGAAAAAGTGAATTGACCGAGCGTTAACATTCAGACGACAGCCATCCACTCATCTTATCACCGCATTATCGTTCGCACCGCAGAAACTTGCCTCTTTTTTCTAAAGCTGGCAAGTGTCTGCAGCTGTGCGTGAGCTGCGCCGAGCTAACGCTAGCTAGCCCTCCTAGCCTGGCGCTGGCTTTGCTTCTCCCCGTAAAGTCTAAACAAAGCAATATATCACGCTCTTGAGAAGCGACACACTCGACTACAACATCAACATGTCGGTGAATGTTTATCTCGCCATTTCCCGTCCAAAGCTGATGGAGACACCGTTCCGTTATGTCCTCCACATCACCATCTGCAGTTCACTGAACCAGCAGCAGCTGCCACCGAAAAACTCCGCTGTTGGCGCATGCGTGGTCATGATTTAGATTTTTCCGAGTCTTGGACTGCACGCATGTTGTCGTTACGCAGCAGTAAGAAAAAAGGTCAGCAAAAAAAAGAAAAAAAAAAAAAAAAGAAAAAGAGAGTTGTGAGCAACGTTATTCATTTTTATTACTTCATAAAATATACACAAATACTGTTGTAAATAAAGTGTGTTAAAGAACTGTACAAGATATCAGTACACAATACATAAAGTGAAATCCCCATCAACTCAACCTCTTTACTACCATTCCCAACCGAAACAGTTACAATGCCACTGGGTCATGGTGGCCTGTACAAAGGTAATTACACACACAGTACACCGCTATTTACACATCCCTGCAATTGCATGTTATTTTTTCCTTTTGAATGACATCATCAAGGTTGCTGGAGATTAAAATCCAAAAAAGGTGACATCAAACTATTAACATATCATTGTGCAGAAGGAATATTAAAAGCCCTATGTATTATATGAGGTGGAAAACCTTTAGACGTGTAAGAACAGAAGAACAAAAAGTGACAGGCAAAAAGTGAACCTTGAACACTACTTCTAAAACAATGCAGGAAGATGAAATGAAACAGAAATTGCAGAACGAAGGACAGAAATTTAAGTCAGACAAATAAAATATATAGTTTAACATAAACAGCAAAGAAGGGGGTTAAAACAATATGCATACTAAGACAAAATGAATATTGTATTATTAGCAGGGATTCACTCTGTCACTCTCTTTCTCTCGCTCTCACAAACACACAATGGTTGACCCAGCTGGCAAAGCAACAGTAGCCTATTCCACAATTTAGTCCTTTAAATACCTAAAATTCTGAACCCAGCCCCAATTTATGGCATTAGTATGCATTGTTCTACTTTACGCCTTAAAACAAAACCACATTTTGGCTTTACATCAAAATAAAAAAATATTTACAGTGAAGTAAACATTAAAAAAAAAAAAAAAGAAATTAATTGGATGTCCGATCCCTGTAAGAGTCACCCCCAACAGAGCTTGCCCACTCCCCTCGGACCTCCACTAACAAAAGGAATTTAAGAAAATGGAGAAAAAAAAAAAAAGGTAACATTTAGAACTATCATAAAAATTGCTGCCACTATTCGTTAGCCAAAACGGGCAGCTGTGGTCTCTGGTCAAATACACGGAGAATTTCCTGAGGCGCTTCCCTCAAGACTTGAGAGTGCGTCTTTGCAATATCTATGGTCATTCTTCACCTTACCCACTCACATTAAAACCAAAGAAAACACGCAAGTAAAAGCAGGCAAAGTAAGGGGGGGGTGGTGGAGGTTTTGAGGGACAGTAAATCATCACAAGGTGGATGAAGGGCAAGCAAGCACCAATTGCTACTTCACCAAAAATGTTACTCTACAACAGCTAAAATGTCACTTACTTATCCTTTTCAGAGCTACCGTTCTTTTTGCCCACGACCCTCCCACCTACCTCTCCCTACTTGTTCCATCTTTCAGCTGTTATTTCTCTCCAAAAAACAAAAGCAAAGGAAGGAAACTCATAACAAGCTCCAATTTAAGATATCCTCATGAAAGATAAAAAGGTGACATACACTGAAAAGTTGTTTTTCGCTGTGTTGAACTGAAAAAGACAAATCTTTACTAAGCCTATATCAATCACTAAAGTTGACCTTTGACGAGAAACATGCGCATGTCCCGGAAACCTTTTCGCTTCTTTGATGCCGACTGCTCTTCACGTGTCTGACAGAAGGTACTGAGGGAAATGTTTTGAGGAGTGGCGCAGGTGTGAGCAACCATGGAGTAAAAATGGTGTAGGACCGTCAGTCGTTTGCCTTTTGTATCGTGGTGGTCCACAGTCCAGCAAAAAAAGGGTTCATGACAGAGTGCATGTTGGATACCGCCACGTACTCCCCTGGATCCTTTAAAAGATTCACTGTCCTTTTCCAAAGATCCATGTGTCCATTGGCAATCATCTTTTTCATAAGACAAGGTAAAAACAAAAAGGAAAAAAAATTAAATCGGCGCGATGAATATACCTTGCAGCCCTGCAACGACAAGAGGAGCGAGAAGTTATTAGAGAGTATTGGTACGTGCTGTATTTCTGCAGTCAGAATGAATGAGTGAAATAAGACCTTACCTGTCAGTTTCATGTGCATGCAGAGCCAAAGAAGTCTACTTCCCCATGTGCTCAAACGGCACGCTGACCTGCAAGAACAAACAGAATGAAGACTCACTCAGGAATTAGCAGCAGTGGAACCAGGTCCATCTCCTAATCAAGGCAACGTCACACAGAACCATACATGCAGCTACAAATAGACAGTTCCCAGGACACATTTAGCCATGATGTGGACTGTCGGCCAATGACAACAACACTTGTTCTGACAACTTTGCTAATTGATTTCACAAGACATCTTCACTACATGACTATAAGTGCGACAGACTGTTTTAGAACAGTGTTATCGAAGTTAGAAGTTCTTGACCATGAAACTTGTGGAGTTGATTCTGGTTTCAAAAGTCATCCGCTGGAGCACAGAGTGAACACAACAAATATGTGTTTGTTTAAAAAATACTGAATTACCGCACTGTATGAACAGTCAGCCATGCTACAAGTACTACATTTGTTAAGCGCGGTTTTTTTTTTTTTAAACCGTGTCAAAGAAATGCTGACTTAGCTCCAGTGTACTTTTTGAGGCTTTAGTTTGCTGTTGTATTGATTAGGATTTTATTGCGCGAAGAGTTATTTTATTTACCATCTTACTTGGTATAAATAAATTGCGGGTGGAAGAAGGGCTGGATGATAGTTCAGTTCACTATTATATTATATTGCAGTGTGTTACATGGCCGACCAAAAGGAGCAGACAGTGTGTTTTCTCACCTGTGATGTGGAAATTCTGGATTGGTCATGACGGGCCGTGAGGTCGGAGGACGAGACGTTGGCAGGAGCCCCGCGGTGGAGCCGCATGCTGACCTTCCTCTCCCTCTCTGCGCGAGAAATCGCGCGAGGCGACGTGTTCCCTGAAAGGATGCATGAAATTGTGAACTGACCACATGTGATGCAGATATTCAAGAGGAAAACAATTGCGGTGTCAGCATGGCATTCTTCCGTTAAGATGGACAGCAGGAGTTTCAGACTATCTAGGCAATTCAGCAGAAAACTCACCAGACTGCTGGACCCGTGAGGCGGGGTTGGAGATGGCCTGCTCCGGCCCGTTCCTGACTCTGTTGGCAGCTGCAGGGATGGGACCCGGGGGCAGGCCCCGCGATGCGGGCCCCCTCGGGGCTCCTCCGATTCGCTCATCCCTCTCATCTCCCGGCCGCCTCTCCCGATCCCCATCCTCAGCTGTTCGACTCGCACCCTGATAGATGAGATCAGCCACGTTAAAACGTTTCCATTAAAAAAATGTAACTTTGAATAGGCCGGGTTACGTTGCAAGCTTTTTGGAAGTAAGGTTTTTGAGCACTGTGATGAAAGGGCTAAATGGCAACATTAATACTTCAGTGAGAAAACCTTATGGGGAACTTACAAATTTGAGCATGTTCCAGTCAAAGACATAGTCATAGGAGAAACCCTGGCGGTGGAACAGATTCCTGAAGAGCTGTCGTAGGTAAGAGTAGTCCGGCTTGTCGTCAAAACGGAGGGAACGGCAAAAATTCAGGTATGTGGAGAACTCGGCTGTAGGAGAATAAATAAGCAAAACAATGCGTAGAAAATCAGAATACACACAACACTAACAGCAAGGAAAAATGTGTCTGCTGCTGCAGATAATCTCAGAACTACAAGTACGTTGCTGCCCCAAATACAGAGGCACCACAGAAATCTCACTTACAAGGGTATCCTTTGCAAAGAACCTCGATGGGTGTGGACATTTTCTTCTCACTGATTCGTTCATACTTCTGCCTCTTGGTAGCGGCCTTGAGGCCCTGCCAGGGGAGGGAGCCCAGGTTGAAGTACATGAGGACGTAGCCAAGAGACTCCAGGTCGTCACGTCTGGACTGCTCTGTTAACAACAGAGGGAGAGTGCATACAAGAGTGAGAAACGGAGGGATCTCAGCTCAGTGCTGCGACAAAGGATCATTTGCCAAGGTGCTATTTAAAGTTATTAAATAAACTGCTGTCTCGTCGATTAGCTGTGGCTTTGAGGAATTACAACAAGTCACAGTCACTGCTTATAGTGGCACTTCTGACAGAGGAACTTGTGAAGCCTGTTATTCACACATTTGAAAGCAAACAAAATACCTTCCTGAACACTGTGAAGGCCATTGATGGGTTGATTAAGTTCCACATTTCAATGCATACTTTTTTTAAAAGTCAACGTTATCAAAATACACAAATATGTTACTTGTTGGGGCTGCAGCTGTTCAGCTAGTAAACTATAACAAGTGTTTAGATGGTTGGCCATATAATAAAAGTGCTCTGCACTGAAATGACAACAGAGCTGTTTTCCATCCCAGACGGCATTTTTCTCTCTCTCCCTCCCTCTCTCTCTCTCTCTCTGTATAAACAAAAAGACGACACACAGAGGAGTCAAGTCCACAGGGAGAAAGTGGAAGGACGAGAGGGAATGGGTATGTAGAGCTAGAATCGGTAGCTTCCTGACTGAAAACAGCACCAGTAAGAAAAAGTCAATGGGATTTGAGAGTAATGACCGATTCCAAAAACTACAGGGAAAATGTGGCACGTAGTCCAGTGCATTACACCTCCAGGCTAGTGATGCATGTCATGTAGAGGGAGATATCGCCATTAAGCCAAAGTGATGATGAATTACATTTAACATGGTGTACGGAGGCAGCTGTCAAAGTAGAGCGAGGGTGTGACCCTGATGAAGCACGAGTGTTGTAAGCTGAACGCTCCTATCCATACAATGTGAATCATAAGGTAGTGAAGTAGCATCCTGTTTGTTCCATATGTTCTTCCCATTTTGACTGACATTGTATCTTGCTGCCTTTCTGTTTGCTTTAGTCGGGATTATCCATACTTTCAGACAACCACTCTGCCACGGGAGTAGTACATAGAATGTAAACAAACAGCTCTAACAGGGGCTTTCTAGAAACCTTCATCGCACGAGTCTACAACAGAGCTGCCTGACATCACGTGTGTGGTGACTAACAGGGCCAGGCAGTCAAGAACAAACAGCAGCACCATTTTCTGAGGATCTAATCCAATGCTCTGCATAAAAAGTAACTAATCTAGCACCAGTTCTTGTTTTCTCTCTCTC